GTTTTTGGGCACAAAACAACTCAACCTTGTGCCACATCTGAAAAAACAAGTCATGTTGGTAGCTCATCCAATGATTTGAACATGTAAAAATGCATTTTTTTTTTCAATTTCGTTGCTCATCAGTCGTAATAGCATTTAAGGGGAAAAATAATTCTTCCACTAGGAGAACAGAATCCTAAGTCATGTCATACCAAATGCAAATGTCTTCTCAAGCATATAAGCTGAAAAGACACATTGGCAATACCTGCTCACAATAAATTATGCATGCCAGTAATATTTATAAAAAGAGTGGACAAACACAGAAAAAGACGTGCCAAAACTACATCTTACTTTAGCTGTAGAAGCTGTTGAAGCAGCCGCACCCCCACCAGTTGAACTCTTATTCTAGCATTGATTTAAGCAAGAGAGAGAGAACATGATTAATACAAAATTAAAAATACTGCAAAATAAGGATGCAAATAGATTAAAGGACCATAGATGACATTAAGAAGGAATACTTTGGATTTAGGAAAGTAAGCCTACTTTTGTTTTCAGACATATTATGCACAAAAAATCATGACAGATTATGCATTTAACAGAACAAAGCAAGCCTACTTTAGACAAAAGATTGGAAGAGTCGCTGAAAATTTACAAACATAAGAAAGAGAGGGAGGGAGGGAGGTAATAGCAGAGAGAACATATCCGGATATTGAAAGTTGTAACCAATCTCACCTTTGTCAACATGATGACAATAAAGCTATTTTCAGCAACACTGTTCTCAGCCAATGTCGTGTCATCTTTAAGAACTTTCCCCTTATAGATAAGCATTTGTTGTGAAGCAGGATAAACATCTGATCCTTGAACTGTTTCTATGTTCTTTTTTACATCAGCTACCTGGAAGAAAAATTGCAAAGCATTAATAAAAGAATTATATTACACCCCAATGAGGAAGTAAAAGGCAGCTGCACCATGCAGTTTATCCTAAAGGCATCAATCCCACTTATATTTATTAAAAGAAGAGAAAAAGGGAGAGGTGCAGCATAAGAAAACGGATGAAGTTTTTCAAAATAAATATTTTATTAAATAATTCGAACATCCACATCCTTCAATAACACGCCCCCTGATCAGCAGTACGCCCAAAATGCAGAACTTCATTCTCACTGTTCAAGAATGGCAACCAATTTATAGAACATTTTACAAAAACAACTTCTATACCTTCAATCTGGAGTCTAATCTATACTCGAAAAGAAAATAACATTGACACATCAATATATACAATCTATACATTTGTATTAAAGGACACGAATTAATCAAATTGAGCAATTCCTTTTCTTCATTAAACATATTACATCTCCTTATTCTGCTTGCAACCCAGAAGTTAACAAGTTATACGCAATTATTAATCCCCCACAGAGGAAACGAAACCACAATTAACTATACGAGTTATCAGTCACTTAACCGTAATCAAAATAACAAGCCCATCCAACACGGTCAACGTATTCAAACAATTACAGCCTAAAAACTGAACAAACCGTCCAATAATCAAGATCCTCAAAATTCAATTTCATGAACGCTAATTCAAACATATGCACAATAATAAGAATAAATATAGGTGGATTCTAATCTAATAACCCTAATTGATATTCAAAATTGGGGGAAACATAAATTAAAAAGGGAAAATAAACGAACCGAATCTTCGGATTTGACTTCGATATCGAAGTGAGTTCCCTTGAGAGTCTTGACGAAAATCTTCATCATCTGCTAATTGGATCTCTCTCGCACACTCTGGTTATTTTTTCCTTTTTTTTCTTTTATTTTTTCTCTCTAATAAAAAATCCGCCGATCTTATTAGAGCAGTGGGCAAGTATGGAATATCCAGTAGAGCACTAGAACTCTGAAACCCATATGAGCACCATGAGTAATCATCTGACACGTGGATTAAAGTAAATCGGACGGTGCATAGTAATGTAACCCACTTGTTTTGGTTTTTTATTGTTTGGATTTTTTAGGTTCAAATTATTGTTTGGATGTTAATAAATTATGTAATTCATGTCTATGACGTGATATATATTATACATTTATTAAAATTAGTATCATTAAATTTATTTAGAGATTTAACCCCTGAATTTATTATGACCATGATAAATATATTTTTATATTAACATATTTATAACATAAATATTAGATATATTTGGAAACATGTGTGGATTTTCATTTCAACGCATCGTTAAAGCATGTGATATTTTAGATAACATGTCCTTTGACGATGAAAGCAGTTGGTTAACGGTTAATATTTATTGTTGATATGATAAGTTTAATATGTCTAAAATGATGATATATCACATGTCACGTATCTAAAGAGATGACATGTCACATAATATGTGTTCAAAGTGATGATATATCACATGTCACATTATTATTTTGGACACGTAAGACTTATCACATCATCGATAAAGCTTTAATCGTTAGTTAATTAATTATTTTTATCCAATTATAAAGTATTTTATCCAAAATAAAATATTGGGTACCAAAGTGCTTTAAGAAAATAGAGGTTAAATAGATTATTTTGTCAAATGTTATAAGTAAACTTTGACATTATACCTTTTGAAAGTCCCTTTAAAAAATTATTTTAAATTAAATAAGGTTCGAAATTGGTTATACATGAGAAAAAATTAGCACCATCGCATCAAAAATTAGTACCTAATTATGCTAATATGACCAGACTCATTCTACAATAAACGCATTCCGCTGATGTGGCAAAAGATGGTCAAATTGAAGTGAAATGAAAGAAAATAAAAAATAGGGGTAAAATATATACGAAAAAAATAAACAAATTTTATCAAAAAGATAAACGCGCGTGAAACACGTCGAATGCTATATTTAAACACTTGTGAACTATATATATATATATATATATAATTCCAATGAGATTCTCAAATCTCATGTTGTATAGATATGAAGTTTTTTAAGTACTTAAATATATCATTTTAAATATGTATTTATTGAGTACCGTGCTCGTTTGTTCTTTTTGAATAAAATTTGTATACTTTTTTTTCATATTTTTTGGCACCCTCCTTTTCTTTTTCCTTTTCCTTTTCTTTCATTTCAGTCCAATTCGAACAACAACAACAAAACTTTATTAGCACGAAGTTGAGTAACTACCGTGTCGTAACAAACAATCAAGATGAACCGAAGGGTTGAGAGGCGATAGCTGGGTTGTTGATAAAAAAAAAAGTACACATAATTTAAATATTTTTAAAATATTTTATTAACTTTTTTTTATTTCCTTATGATTTTTATAAGTTGTTTCTCTAAAATTTTATTAATATATTTCTCTAACATAAAATGTTGTCTCGTCCCTACGAACAATTATATAAGCGGATAAGGTATTAAATTATTATTAAAGTTGAAGTTTTAAAACTTTACTACGGAGATATATTTTGTATAGATTATATGTATATTCTGTAAATGATAGTTTTTTGTTTTAATAATTACATGATATTAAGATATTTTTATCTAAAATACGAGTTTTATTTTCTTTTAATTATAAAAATATTATAATATATCAACTTTTTGTAACTTTATATTGATTTATATAATTTATTAGTATGAAGTGATTATAACGTAATATACGTATAAAATATTCTCAATCATTTGACAATGATTATTCAAATATCCTTACAAGTTACAATATTATATTCAAACTTAAGATCTCTAATAATAACAATTATATAATTTTTGTTGTTAATAATATATTTTGATTAATTACATTTGATTCATAAAATAATTATATACATCACCGAACAAAATATGTTACTTATTAGAAAAATGACTGTCCCTTTTTCCCATATGTATGGGGTAAGGAGGAGGTAAGATAGTAGGCTACCCCCAACACCAAGTTGAAAGCAACTTTCGTAAAAGACATCCGAATTATGAAATGCCCTCCGTGAGACTCGATCCCACGACTTCAAGATTAAGAACCTTGTGCTCTACCAACTGAACTGGATGGTCATTTTAAAAAATATGTTACTTATTAGAAAAGACATGGGAATTAAAAAATAATAAAAAATATCTCATTATCACTATCACTATTCTTCTAATGAAAGAGGATCAAAATAGATACGTATAATTTAAGAAAAATAGTCAACCAAAATTTAGACCCGGGCGAATATAATGAATAATGATTAAAATTTTTAAAATAATAAGATAAAATACATAAATTGTCTCTAAAATATATGATTTTATTTTATTAATCTTTTATCTATTAAAAATATAAAATAATCATCTAACTGTTATTATATGTTTTAGATTCATCCATTTTTCATTAAAAATTAATAACCATATGTATTGAATGTTAATATATTAATTGAAATCTAATAAAATTTAAATATTATAAATTATGTTATTAAATTAATACAAAATCAATACTTGAAAGTAATAACAAATAGTAATATAGATCATTAAAATATTATTATATTTATATCTCAGTCAATATGTTAAATTCTAATTAAGACAATTATCAACATTTTAATGGATTTAAACATATAAATAGTCAAATATTTATTTTATAATTTTTAATAATTAAAAAACTCAACAAAACATAAATCTATTTAAATTAGTTATGACAAAATATTAAAATATGAATTAAGCAAAAATTTAGGAAACCCGGAAAAAGAAACTTAAAAAAAGATTAAATTAATTAGACCCGGCAAATTTAATGGATTAGCGGGAGAAATCCGATTCCGATCTCGATCTGGAAAAGGAAGGCCTACAGCGGACACAGCACGTTCCTTCACTGGTAAAACAAGTACCAAGTTGGTGTAAAACCTCATGGATATTGAATCCCATCCCCTTTAAAAAAAAAAAATCATTAACTAACATTGTGCTTTGTAAAACGCCCAAGTACCCTTCCTTTCAAAATTCTAAACCAAACTGTATGTTTTAATAAAAAGATATTCTAAGAGAAGCGCCAAAACAATTTACAAATCGGCTAAGTCTTGTATTTCGCTTCGCTTGATTTCTTTTAAGATTAATGTTCAAGAGTTTTACTCCGCCGAAAGAGTTTCCGGCGGCCATAACTGACCGGAAATATCGGAAGAATCGTAGTAAACATCGGCATACTCGAACAATCCGTCATAAGCAACGTGGTCAACATAGTAATTATCAAAGAATCCTAACTCAAGCGAATCGTAGCTTCGGTTTTGCCCCTCAAACCCCCACAAATCACCGATTCCAGACGAGTGTGAGTCGACTGGCGCCAGATCAGTCACTTCCGACCTTATTTCACCGCCAGTTGTAGAAGCCATAGGAGGAGGCAGACCAAGCTCGTCGTCGGAAGCCCCGAGAAGGTAACCGAGATCCGTCTGTGAATCACCGGAATCGGAAGTCAGGTAAACAACCGGCGCCGATTCCGTCGAAGTAGACTGCGCAGCAGATATCTCATCTTCGAAACTCTTCATTACCGATGCAAGGTCTTGATTAACAGGCAAAGAATCCGACTCGTCAAGCAAATCCAAGAAATCATCTCTGAGTCTCTTCACCTCGGGCGAATCCAGGTCCGACTCGTTCGAGTCATCTCTGACTCGCTTCTTACTGTTTAACTCATCCATGAAAACGATCAAAAAAATATGAAAACCAACTATCGGGAAAGAACTTCAAGGTATCCAATTCTTCTCTCTGTATCGTTAAGAGATTTGGAAAATAAACAAGATGCGAACGAGCAAGTTTGTCGTGAAAGAGAGAGTTGGGGGGGGCACGAGTTTATATAGTGAGACCACAGAGAGAGAAAGACGATGGAAACGCAGGCGCGTGGGGAAGCAAGATCTTAGGTCATAACGGGGCTCATGCCTTTTTTAAAAGTAAAAAAAAAAAAAGCGTCCCGAGAAAAGTTTCTAATTTAGATTTTATTAAAAGGATTTGAAGTCCGTGCTTGAGGTCCGGTCAGAATGGGACCCACAATCCTAGTCAATCACGGCCCTTTGGGAATTTTCCTTTTGTTTTAGATCAGCTTTTGCATTCGGTTGGCGTGGCTGGGCTCTGGATTTTGTGGTTTGGTGAAAGGGTGTTTTAGTCAACTTCTTTAAAATTGATTTTTCGTTTAAAAAAATCCAAGATATTTTCCGGTGAATTTTTTTTTCCATATTTTATCGAATATCTAATCTATTTTTGTACCGTACTTAATTTTTTAAAATTATTTTTTATTAAACGAAAATATATTATTTTAGAAAATGAAGTTTAAATCTATATAAAATAAAATAATATGAGTATTATTGATTACTTAAATAATTAATAAATTTTAATTGAACGTAACCACTAACGAACTATGTTTGAGCTTATTTAAACCCATAGTTTCTAAAATGCTAATCTTATTAAAATTCAAGTATTAATTCTTTAATTTAATTTTTTATCGACAAACAAATAAAAAAGCTTGTCTTTCTGTTAAAACAATAATTTCATTGAAAATGGATGTAATTGATTTGCACAAACAAACAACAACAAAACCCTATTCTCATATACAATGGGATAGGGAGAGGTAGGGTAGTAGACTGCCTCTAATGCCAGGATTGAGAGCAGCTTCCGTGGAAGACCTACAGCAGTCAGAAAATCAAAGATAAAGATTAAATGTAATGCATGTATAAGTAAATAAATAAATACATAGTTGAAACGTCTTCATATGCAGGCTTCATATGTGCATCTGTAATGGGAAATAATCCCTGTAAATAAATTCCTACGTAAAAATCTCTGCATATAGACATAAAAGTAAGACCCGACTAAATTTAAAAAGAGGAAACCAGAAGAGAATGATACACAATAGTCAACGACAGCAAGCTACGAGAAGGAATAAAGTCAAATGGGTTAAAACCTAAACTAAGGCAACACTACTCCGCTACCCTAGTTCTAGGCCTTCATAAAATCTAATGACATAAACGTATATAAAGTAGAAGTCATGGAAGTTATTACAAAGGTGTTAAAAAGAAGACAGAGATGTTATACCATATGTCTGTGACCCGCACTACTCAGCTACCCTGGTCTTAAGTCTCCATACTTTCCTATCAAAGGTCATGTCCTCGGTAATGGCTAAATCCTTCAGATCAGATCTCAAGCAGCCTTCTCACTTCCGCCTTGATCTTCCTCTCCTTCTGGCACCGTCTACTGTAATCAACTCTACCCTCCTGACCGCATCCGACGGTTGTTGCCTTTGGACATGCCCAAACCACCGTAGTCTTCTCTCCCTCAATTTTTCGGATACAGACACCACCCCCAAGGACATCCTAATAGCAGAGTTTGGTGTCATGCCCCACAAAGTTTTACCACATGCTCATCGAAGCATTCTCATTTCTACGGCCTCCATCCTCCTTCTTGATTGCCCAACATTCTGATCCATACAGCAGCGATGGTCTTATTGCCATTCTATAAAATTGATTTGGACACATCTTGTTATTTGAATTTTATTTTTATTTTTTTAAATGTTTATTTTATCGTACATTATATATGAAGAGGGTTTAGATAACGGCACTATCAAGATAAAAAAAATTAACTAAATGCAAAGACAAAACAAATATTTTCATTAGGGACTATAATGAATTAAAAAAATTTAGAGAGGTTAATGTGTAATTTTCACAATGTACTAATCTATGCATAATTGTATGATTTCTTAGGGAAATATAAGACACTTTTTAGGGCCCTATTAATTCCATCCCTAATTAAATGGATGCATGTCCTATTTATAAAATATTTTCCCATTAAATGCACATGATAATAATATTTCTGTTGTGAAATTGAAAAAATAAACAATAAGAAAAGGTATAAGTATAAAGAGAGAAACTTGTAATATAACCTCAATCTAAAATTATATATAATGTTTTCTCTAAATTTCATATTTATAAACTTAAGAAATACATATTATATAGAATTATGATTTTGATAGATATTAAAGTTTTAATAATAAAGTACATCAAATTCATATTTAATACATAATATTTTAATCATAATAGATATTCACATAAATAAATATTCACAACACTCCTTTTAGATGTCTATAAATATAACGTGTCTCGTTAAAATCTTACTAAGATAAAAATATCATGGGAAAATTTAACGAAGACAAAAAATTACACATATCTTTTATACACATAACATATTGTCTCATTAAAAAACTTAACGGAAAAGCTCTTTATTCAATTATTAAAATAGATAATGCATTGTTGAATACAATTAAACACTCATTAAAAAGTACACAACGTGTATTTACTCCCATCGTAACAATATCACATAAGATATTTGAGTCTTTATAATTAAATCTTTAATACAATATTCAAATTTTGAAATAGATAATTGCATTGTTGAATAAATGTTTCAAATTATCATTTGAACGAATTCATTACCATTCTTATAAAAATCACAAGAGAGAAAACTTTAGGGAAGTATATTTCCTTTTATGTATCATTCTTTCAATTGAGCAATACATTCTGTATTGTTTTCAAATAAGATAATTGATATCTTATCATGTGAAAATAAATCACATATCTTTTAGACGTGTTGGGTTGAGTATTAGTTAAACATATTTGTGGCTTGCATAATGCATAATGCATAATGCATAATGATCTTAAATAAAATATTTTTTGTTTATATTGAATCTCGTCAAGATCCTTTCAGTATATGTCTAATGATCTTAGAATTGTGTATTTTCAAGGAGTTAATCTCAATTATGTATTTTCACTTATTCAATAATCTTAAATTTGTGTAACACTATAATAGTTTTACAATATGTAAATTGATCATCACGCTATATATTAATAGAGATAATTAAAAAAAAGTATAAATATATACATATGAACCTATCAAATGACCTTTGTGGTTAAAGATACTATTATTCATCCTATGAGTACAAAAATTACTTATACAAAATATATGTATGTTAATAATAATTAAAAAGTCTAAAAATATATTGCTTTATAACCGAATCACACTAATTAAAAAATATACATATCAGTAAAACGATATTAACTTCGATGTTCAAAAATTGCGTTATAGAAATTTGTGGCAATTGAAAATTTATCACATAATTTGCTATTTCCTTTAACAAAGTAATCAAAGATTGAAACCACACGTGACTCTTTCACGTTTCCATTAAACAAAACAATCACTGAAAGATTGGTGAAACCTAATAGTCCACTCGATAAATTTTGCACTTACACGTGTAAACAATAACAACACTTCAAAAACTCAATCACGAATTGTATGTATGCGTTTAATTAATTTAGATTAATTATGAAATTAAATATTAAAATATAAAATAATTCAATAATAATATAATGTTTTTATTGTGATGAAGTTAATTATTAGTCTGATGTCATGTTTCATGATTATATTAGTCTTTATAATCATATTTATTTATATATTATTTTTTTAAAATTTAAATTTATTTGATCAGTTTTTAATTATTTTTTATGTGTTCATTCATTAAAATTAATGGATTACATTTTTAAAAAATACTAATATAAAATAGATAAAATACCACACAAAACGTTAGCGCAAAACATAGAGCCCGACTTCGGTGACCGTTGGATAATTTGGATGGACCATCTCTGTTATCACCCGCTGAAAAAGAAATTAAATAAATAAATTATTATTATTTTTTAAATAATTTAGTGGACCCCACGATTTACCTATGGTTAGCGGTCTGAGCCAGTTTTAGCCAACGAGGGTCAGCCGACACATTTCCAGAAGCAGCTGAGCTGAGAACAAGTAAAGATATATCCCCAAAGAAACGTCAGCTTTTGCCGCTAGTTTCACGCTCAAGTTGGCTGCCGTGTCTTGAACCCGCTCCTCGAAAAATCAACTTGCCCTTCCTTTGCACATTTTCCCCACGCGTCACTTTCCGAAGCTTCTCATAATCTCATATTTTTATAATTTCTTTATTTATTTTAAAAATAAAAAAGGGTATGGCCGTATGCGTATCGGGAGAAGATATACGGTTTTCGAAAAGTGGGGGCCATGTGTTTTGCAGGTGGTGGGGACTTTTATTGTTAGAAGAAATCACATGGTACAGAGAGGATGGGTCAGTTTGTCATGTCATTGTCGAGATTTTGCATTGATCAAATCAGACGATGGGTTGTCATTCTTTCTGTGGGGTAATCCTCAATCGATGCAGATCAGACGGTCTAGATCTTTCATATCCTGATAATAATACAGTGCTTTGGGAAAACATTAGAAAATGGGTTTCAACAAACGGTCACGGACTTGGGAATTTCTACGGTGAGTACCATAATATAAGATTAGAATAATGTGTTGCCCGTTTTATTATTATTTAAATAATAAATTTGATAAAAAATTATTTAAAATATTATTATTATTTATCTAAAACATATTTTTTTAACATTTATTGTAAAAATGTTTAATAATATTTCCGGTCATTTTTATCAAATCCGATAAAATATCCAATAATAACAAAATCGGTAGCGCCTAATAATGTTTCCGGTCAATTTTTTTCGGTTTTGTTATTGATTTTGTTATTTAAACAATAACAAAACTAATAACATCTTTTTTTAACCGTATATTAAGGTTACCGCACCCGAGTATTTCCCTACAGACTTACTGTTTTTTATAATTAAATTAAAGTGAGAGTAATGTAATATTTATTTAAATATATTTTATCATTTTATATTAAATGTTCACACTTTTAATATATATATAGTAATAATAATTCTTTAACCACTTACATTTAGTTTATGCTA